TCGGAGTTATGCTACAAATATAAAATAAATAATAAATTAGTATACAAAATTAAATTACAGGACATTTCTTTTATTTCGAATTTTTTTCTTATAATATATAATAATAAATTTCTAATAATATAAATAAAAATATACAAAATGGCTCATGCTCGAGCTCAGACAAAACAATACTCGAAGAGCTCGAGCTCGTCAAAATAAATGCGAGCTCGAGCCCCCTAAAACAGCCAAGTTCAGCTCGAGCTCGGCTCGACCAATAGAAATTGACCAATGAAATGTACTCTTTCCCAATTAAACTGACCAATAGATGATGCCAAAAGGAGAAGAAAAGTTAAAAGCGAAGAGGTAAATCATAAAAAAAAAAAGTCAAACTTTTCTGCTTGACTCTAAGTTGACCTGTTAAAACTTAATAGTCAAGCAATCACATCTCAAAAAAAAAAAAAAAAAAAAAAAAAAGCAGTAGTAGTATATTTCTTAGGTAAAGAGAGCGAGTGGAAAAAACAATCACGTTGACTTATTCATAAAGTCACAATGCCAATGGGGGACCACATACAACAAAAACTCATAATAATTTGGTTGAACGTAACATAATATAGTTCACATTACCTTGTGAAAGTTGATGTTGTCATCGAACGGCACACAATAGCCGAGCTTAGAGGACCTCAGCCAAGTAATGGTGTTCCTGCACACAGGGAATAACACGAGAGCCATGTTGAGCTTCAGAGTCTCGGCTGCGCCCTTAGCCGTGAGAAGGCAGTAGCCCATGACTTTGTACGCGTCCTTTTGCTTGTACTGATAGAATTTCCATACGAAAAGGCCTATCATAAGCGCGACCCACAGGATTAAAACCCAGATTCTCTTCCAATTTTCATGCAGGAAGTAGATACATTTAGTGCTGATTCTTCTTATTGGGCCTTTGTATCTGAGCCCATGAAGGTTTTGGCTCAGGGCTTGGCTCGTGTAGCTGAGGGCTTGGCTGTAATTTAGGTACGTGTCCTTTTGTAGCAGTAGTGTTTCCAGCTGCCACAGCTGAACAGAAATAACATGCATCAGATATGATTGTAATTTCACTTTACTGATAAATAAAATAAATTAAATATGTGTAATAATGAATGATGTTGAAATTGGACCATATTGTTTGAACATGTGTTGAGTGCTGAAAACACGCAGTTTTTGGTCCGGAAAATAGAATGTCCCACATGGGTAGGATTTTACAAGCCAATAAAAATAAAAATTAAAAGGGAATATTTAAAAATAAATAAATAAAAGTCGTCTACATATAAAATTGAATGGGACAATAATTTTATTATTTTAATTGGGAAAGGAATTTTTCTGTGCCTTGAATTAATTATGAATATGAAGAAGAAAAAAAATAGTACTGTTTATATTGTTTGTTTATTTCAACAGTCATAACGTTACACGGCAATACAATTAAGATTCCATCTTACTAAAGTATAATTATTAAATTTATAAAATAAAATTAAGATAATGCAGCAGTTGGTTTTTCCAAATCAAATTTTAAAAAGTTGTCTTCATGAACTTGGTCTTGGTTTTGGCTCAGCTAACAGGGATTAGGTAATAAAACCATTTCTTTGAGGAAATGGTTTTCAAGATAGCTACTTCGGCATTAATTTAACTAAATTGTTATATTATATCCTATAATCCCAATTAAATAGCTTAATAATCGCAAATTGTTTTAAAATCTACGCATAAAGGGGTATGATTTCATAAACCGCCATAAAGCTCGTAAAATATAAAATAATCAGAAAAACTAAAATATATAACTCGTCCGACCAATAAGCGAAAAGGAGGTTGTTGAACTATCAACACAGGAAATATGTAAAATGACCATTTCAAAGTAAATAAACACAGAATTTTAATATATATATATATATATATATATATATATTATTATATATATATATATATATAATATATATATATATATATATATATATATATATATATATATATATATATATATATATATATATATATATATATATATATATATATATATATATATATATATATATATATATATATATATATATATATATATATATATATATATATATATATATATATATATATATATATATAAATTTCGACAGTTGTATTGATCATTTTCTTTAAACTGGTCCACTACAATATAGATAAATATATTTTTTTTCTTTTTCAATGGGCAGTTTTCTAATAAGCCTAACTCAACTTCTCCAGTTTGAAGGTTGGATTATTATTGACATTAAACTAAATGATTTCCTTTTTAATTTCTATTTTATATTTAAAGCGTATTGTATTTTATTCAACATGTATGGTTGAACGACACGGTAATCCAATATTAATACGATTTAGTCAGTCATTTGTCGTCTAACTACTGACTTTTTGATAACTAAAGTCCAACATGATAATTTTAGTTGTAACCATCTTTTCTTTTCCCCCAATTCGCTAGTAGTAGTACTATGCATTAGCGGAGCCAGCATTATAAGTTCGAGGGGTTCGAATGCATTAAAATAAATCTAAGGAGATGACCGATAATGCTATTGTACACAAAAAAAGATTATATTTTTATATAAATTAATAGAGATTTGAAAAATGTTGGGGGCCACGACCCCCGACTCTATGGCTCTATGCTGGTTCTGTCACCGGTACTATGTGTTGCGGTTGGTGTAGAAGCAATTAATGGTACAATTAATCGGTACTAAAAATATCTTATCTAAGTAGTACAAGGCTAATTTGACCAGCAACTCGATGATTTTGTAACTTGCAAGGCAACATCTAACCTTAAATAATAATAATAATAATGTCATTTAATGCAGCAAAATGCTTATCTGGATTGGTTAAATTAAATAAATTTTAGTAAATTAAACTTGGAAAACGACGTGAATTAATTTATCAGGTGTAGCATTTAGGAGAGTCCGGAAATTTACCTCAATGTATCCAAGCCTTTCGGGGTCTAACTCTTCCATGATCAGAGCCGCGTACTCCTCCGCCTGCTCTTTTAATCTCGACAATTTGTTTGCAGAGGCACTTACCATAATAATCTACATAACAAACAATGAAACAATTAATTAGACTTAGAACAGTGAATAAAAGAAAGGTAAAATTGATAAATTGAACAATTATTATGACTCAATTTATACATACATAATTACAAATTTACCCCCACCAACCCCATCTGACTGACTTGATCTTTAGTGAGTTCAATTTGAAACGTAGCTTTCACAATCTCAACCATTAAAATATTACTAGGTACACCAACAAGATATATTCATACTATACGTGTAAAAATGACTATATATTATTTATAGCAATATTTTCGTTTTCAAATTTTATACGATAATTGCATTTCACCCAGCGTAGCATCTCATAAATAAATCGAGCCTAGAAAAGATTAAAGAAATGAAGGCCCCATTGTACAAAATCCCACTAAATCTTCAAACTGCATGAGGAATTAATATTATTGTTAAATATTTACATATAACAAAAGAAAAGTTATATAATATAATAATACTATTTCTTTTTCACCGTTACAAATTTTCTTTATGCCACCGCAATATGACAGACTGTGCTTTACCTCATAATCATCAATAAATTCATTTTTTTAATCCTTGATTAGAAATCATTACCCACTCACTACTTTTAATACTTTATTATAAAAATGATTTATATATATATATATACAAAGTCAGAAAGAAGTTGCGTTACCTCCTTAACCTCCTCTTCGGTGATTCGACCATCTTCATTTTTGTCTACCCTGCATCAAAATCATCATTAACAAATTAATTAAAACTTTTGATAATCTAACACGATTATGTAGTAATCAGCGTTAACTATATCAACTTCTTCTCTTTTTGACTGGTGGCCTCAAAAAAGCTGATTGACATTTGCACTTTGTACTGTAGCTTAATTACTTATTAATTAAGTAGCTTACTTATGAACTTTAACTATGATTAATTAAAAATTAATTAAGAAAGCGAACGTACATGTCGAAGAAAATCTGGAGCCTGGAATCGAAACTTTGATCGGTAATTTGGGACCAAAATTCGTAGAGTTCATCTCTGCTGATCTTGTCAACTTTCAATCTTCGTCGTCTGCCTAATGCATCGAACAATTCTAATGCAAATTCCTTCGAATCTTTCATCCCTGTGGAATAAGAA